GTAGGTTATTTCTTCTTGCTGAACTCCAAGTTTATCAAACTTTCTCTGTACTCAAGTTCTACAAGCCAAGATGTCAACCCTACTTTCTAAATTACCATTGTCTTCATGCGTGTGATAGCCAATAGCAGCAAAAAAAAAAAACCTCTTAGTGCAATGAACATAGCACTTGTCTTGACAAGTAACAGTGATTTCAGCCAAAAAATGGGAATCTGGGAAAATTATTTTGCCAGTGTAGAAAACTGCAAACAAATGTAGAAGCTAAGGGAGAGTCAAATCCTCTGAGGCCACGATCTGCACCAAGATTCAGTCCAGGGCCCACCCGACACAGTGAACACTACCTAAAATGAGCACAATCCCTAGTCTGCCTTAATTAAAGATTCAAAGTTGTCCAAATGCTCTCCTGTTAGTAATTTTATTTAGACATTTTTGCAGATAATGTGAGAAATCTGGCATCCATGAAAGTCAGTGGAAGAACTCAAGCGACTTCTGTGGAATTCTGATTCACTCAAATTTGATTGTATCAGCTGCAATGGCAGTTCTGGTTTTCCTTCAGGAACTTACATTTCAGCACTGATAGATGACTTTGGAGGAGTCTTTGTCTGATCAAGTTTACATTTGCATTTCTTGAAGATTTAATGCTAAGCTATTCCAATTCCAGAGCTTAGCCAATTACATGGATGGTTCCAGGCGGTTTGTGAAATTTCTCAGGACAACTCAACATGGAAGTCTTTACAAGCCAAGTGGTGACAAATATGGAAAAAAGAATATATATGCTTTCCTTGTGAAGGATTAATAGCAGGAGTTGGCTAGTTCTGCTTTGTTTGCAGTCTCACAGTGAAACTTCAGTGTTTCATGTTCAGCTGCACTGCAGTGGCCCCTCTTTTAGGGTTATTGTCATACGGGAACAAACGTGCTGAATTATTTAGCACGAGATCAGAACAAGGCTTTCTGTATTCATCAACACATTATCAGCTAATGCATTACACTGCACACTGAACAAAGCTACTACTGAAAGCCACAGTAAGTTGTGATGGTATATACAGCATGGAAACCCAGTACTGTAACATTTCCTATGTGTTTTATTACGGCAAATAAGAGATCATTTCAAGATGAGAGGAGAGGACAGGAGCCCAAAATGTTCCTAGTAATACTGTCACCATAAGTTCATTTTCATGTTACACCCACTTCTGCAGAGACTAAATACATGTTTACATTTACATGTTGTGTATAGTCCACTAGTTCAAAAGTTTTTATAGAATTTATATCTAGAACACGATGAAATATATTCTTATATTCTGTAATCTTTACAAATTACAGATCCAATTGTTTTGCTATTGCTGTCTGCCTTCAACCTCCTCAAAATGTGGGAGATGACAGCACAGCAATGTATTTGTTAGATATTCATCATAGTCCCTATAGAAAGTAATGATAGGTGTGCCTTCCTCTAAATCCAGCAGCCCCTAGAAATGTTGGTGTAGTAAACTTACAAGCAAGAGGTGATGTGTTGCTGTAGAGTGAGGAATACAGGGAGTGACCTCACCATCATGACCAAGGTTAGAAGTGAGGTGTCCTCAGACCTGTGTGTGGGTGACTAGTTTCTTTCTCCTTTTAATTCTTATTTCTCTCCTAGGGAAGAAATACCAGCCTGGCAGTAACCACATCACCTCCAGTTTGCCTGATTTTTTCTGTAAGACACCACACGTTCATGGCATGATCACCATCTGCTACTCTGCACTGGTGATGCTTTGTCAAGCAGTTTTGTTCACTCTGACTCGAGACAAACTCCACAAAGTGCAATGTGGTGAAGGCTCAGTAACATTACCAGATGCCTGCAGACCTTCCAGAGGGAACACACCTGGTTTTGTCTGCTCTGGAGGTAAGCCAGCCCCAGGAGATAGCTCTGTGGACTAAGAACCACACAGACTCCTTGGTACTGTACACACAAACTGGGGAACTGTGGTTTAACTGCTCTGTGGAAACCTCAGTAAGCTCCAATGGTGCTTATAGCCAGAGATTTAAAATAAAATACTGAATCTGTTGCAAAATAGAAAAATATTTGGCTTATTTGAAGGTTAAATGTTTGCTGTTTCTAACAGCAGTAAATGTTTTCTCCTAGCGCTTCCCAGCTGGCTTCATCTTCTACTCTGACTCACTCTGTTTTGTCACGCTTGAAAAGTATTAAAGCCTAAAAAAACGTCCTTGATATTATTTGTCAACTCTTGCAAACACAGTTTAAAAGGTACTGGAAGATGTGGTTGTGTTTTCAGCCACAGCTATCAAGCCAGACATTCTGTCAACCAGGGAAACCTTGTGAAGTTTTTTATCCTAAGAAAACGTGATCAGCTTCAAAGAGTAGGAGGATGCTGTCTGGTAGCAAAATGACACTAAGAATCACTTTGAAATCTCTGGTTCATAAATAGTCCCCATGGTTTCAATGCAAGTTTTTACCTAGAAGGAACCTAAATCTTGTATGAAAAAGAGTGATAAAAGTTCTGTCCTTTATAAATTGCACACTGTATTTTAGCATAAGGTTTAACTGCCTATAATTTGATTATCTGGTGTTTCATAATCGGGTTTGTGATCTTTCTGCTTGGAAGTTTAAAATTCTTACATATGACCAGAGAGAAAAGATTCAGTTGAAAGTGGAGGCCTACCACGTTGGACGAGAGCTTCTGGACACACAAGCCCACGTTACTGCACATGCAGCAAATGTGATGTTAAAATACTCTGCCTGGCTACAGTTCCACTTCTGACTGTAAGCAGGGTTGGATTGAAAGTATGTAAAGCTGACATTTCCAGGTCAAGGCACAGTCATGAATAAATGTGCTATGCATGCTGTGGATGAAGTATCCTGTCCCAGAACGCTCTTCGACCTTCCACTGCAGTACACATCTCTGTTGTTCACAGTGTAGACTAGAGGCAATACCAGAGGAGAAAACTTTTCCATCAAAACCACACGATCCTCAGACACAGAATTTGGCTCTGTGGAGGTTTGTTAGCAGTTATAATGAATTTCAGTCTGAGCACCAGACTGCATCTTACACAGCAACAGTGGCAGTGCAACCAGCGCTGACACTTTCATTTTACCCACTGGGCACCCTCCAGGCCAGAGGTTTATAGTAAAGCTTTTCTTCAAACATTTTTGTGGCTCAAGCATGAAGGTGACACTTCAGTCCAGGAGAAAAGACTAGCTCTAGTTTGAAGTAAATCTCAACCACATATAGCCCTACGGGGTTCTCAATACCAACTGCTTTAATAACTTGACGCCCTCCTATCGTGCTTCATTGCTTGACAGATGTAGCTTTTGAAAGATGTCAGTGTTTGAACACTGTTATTACTGCATGGAAGCAATGGGAACATTTGTCTTTCAAAACAGAAGAGTTCAGTTTGGAAATGAAAGAATATAAAAAAAACTAAGAGAAAAGGGTAGCTGAACAATTAGAAGTAAAAAGTCACTATGATAAAATGTGAATACAGTTAAATTACCTGACCCCTATTTAATGAAATATTATAAATACTTTAGTAATATTAATAACATTAGTATACTATTAGACAATGGTATTATATTTAAACAAATCACTTTGCTTATTCAAAGATGAGACACACAAAAGGTCACAAACATGAATGTATCAGACTGAGAATTGCCCAAGCCTCATAACTGAAATAAAATATTCAGTAGAAAAGACCTAAAAGACATTTCTCCATTGTACAAAGCTGCACAAAAAGGAAGAGGGAGCAAAGGAGCAAATAACATTCACAAATCTGCCTTTGTTGCATCAAAACTGAGCTAGTGCAGGAAGCTAGGAAAGACCCAGAAAGTCTTTTCATTAGGAAAAATTGAAAACAAGATCATGAAAAATAAACCACAAGCTAAGAATGAGAAAGCAAGGAGCACAAGTGAGATGTAACAAGCATAATCAAAGCCTCTATCTGAAAACCCAGTCTTTTTCCCACATTACTGTGTGATTCATGATCAAATTTGCATCTGTAAAGTGAGAATAATGCTTTCAACAGCAGCTATTTCTCCAGTGCCTCAGGTGCAATTATCTGTGTTTTTCCAAGTCAAATGGAAATGCTGAAAGAGCTGGCCTGGAGCCAGCTAAAGGTTAGGGGATGTTTTTTCTCTTCTCACTTATGCAAAAATAAATCCAAACTTTTCTTGTCAAAGAGTTCCAGGCAATGAAAAACACCCCATTTCATTCACAGATAATTGGTAAAAAACAAAACAAAGGGAAACAAAGCTCAGCTTCACAAAATTGTCACTGACACTCCTCCTTTATAATAACATTCAGCGTGGTTTAGATACCTCCTTAGGATCTGAGAGCCTCTGAAGTAAATCCCACCTCCACCTTTTAGGATTGCACCTTACAAAAGATGTGAATTATCAGTCTGAAGTAGAACTGGGAATAAGGAGCTCTTCAACTCTACTTTTAATTTTTCCATCAATGCTCATTATTTTTTCATCGTACAATACAATTCCCTCTTTCAAAAAAGACAGCAGCACTTGTTTATCCCATGAACATGTTGGAGGGATGTCTGGGAAGAATTCTGACAATGGAAACCACAGGGTAATGCTAAGCATGAAAAACTAATTATCATGGCCAAACTGATCATTAAACATAAGGACAGGAAATATCCTGCCTACCAACCTGGTCCACCACCTCCCTGTCACTTCTACTGATAGTTCTCCTCCCCAGGTTGGCCTGGCAAAGATCACTATTAGGTATTTCTCAGGTTGTCACAGCACTTAGGAAACAACCATGGATCCTTCTAGATCAAAACAAACAGAACATTTTCCCCACTTGTTGAGGTGAATCTCACCTCTTTCAATCTCTTCTTAATCCTCAAAGAGGGGACATCCCACAGTCATAAAAGCCAAGCCCCCATTTTCAGCACCAGCTGTGCAAACAATAGTTGACCTACAGAATCCATCCTTTCCTCCAGCCATACCCCCTCACCAGTAGGATTGAGAAGAAACCTAGATATCGAATCACAAACTCTTGGCTTCCAAACTGCTCAGTTTAATGAATGGACTCAGCATAAGGCACTTTAAGGCATCTCTTCAATGACATTACAATTTTCTGCTGGAACTTACAATGACTTTGCAACAGAGAAGCCAATGAAAACTTTCAGTTTTACAGCAGTAAGAACATTTTGTTGTGACATCTTCATCACTGGCTGAAATATGGATGACATTTGGCCACTACAATATCATATTAAAACAGTGTGAAGATACGAATAAAACAATAACAAAGAAAAAATACCTCCCTTTCCAAGCAGAACTTTCTTCAAAATCTTAAAAATAGAGATCTACACTTCCAAAGGCAGCTAGTCATTTTGATGTTTGATTTGACACACAGGGTCAGGTCTTCACAGCACTAAAGTTCAGTCATCTGTAAAAAACCAAGATCTGCTCTAAGGATGGATGAGACACCACACAGTGAGCCCCTCAACCACTACTCACTTTTAGGGAAAGTCAGTAAAAGGGAGAAGCAAAAATCAACACATTAACTTCAGTAAATTCAGCAACATAGGTATATATATTTTATTCTTTTTTTTTTTTCCTCTTTTGCTCTTCTACTTATTTCTCCTACATCTTTTTCCTTCATTTCTTACAGTTTCTATCTCTGTGTTGCTGAACTGTGCTCTCCTATCTCCAGTTCCCTTCAGGAATTCCTAAACTGCTATTATATGCCTCCTTTTTCATTCCCTGTGTCTGTCTGTGCTTCTTCCTTTTCATGTTTTTGATGCCTTTCCTTCTGGCACTAACCACTGTAGGCTCATTTCTCCAGAAACCACTCTTTTTTTGCCCATTTATATAGCCTATACCTACTCCATCTCCCAGTTAGTATCCTACCACATTATCCCTTACACAGAAGAGGGTGTGTGAATGGAAATGGTCTGATGAATATAGGAGCTGAAGCCAGATTGCTCCCTGGTTTTCTCCTGTCTTGTATCTTTTCTGCCACCCCTTCTCTCACGATACCTGCTTATTCTGCTGCAAGGCAGTACAGCAGTGAGAAGAGCACCACTTGTCCAGCAGCAGTTGCTGGAAATGAAGGGACATTTAAATTCACAAAGGAAAACCAACAGATCCCATACATTTCAGCGCCTAAATCAATTTGAATAAACTGCTTTGGTTTAAAGCTGTTCTTTCTCCATGGAATTTAACAAAGTGGTGGAAACCAGGATCTTTGAAAATTCCATGTGCTTCCACCAGAAGCCTTGGGTACATAAGTTTTAAAATCATGCCAGCATCTCACAACTCTGAGGCATTCTGTAGTTCTATTTTCTGTGGTGTAGCTAAAATTTTCTCTGTTTAAGTACATACCAGGAGTGACTGCAGTTCATACCTGGCACTGATTAAGCCTGCTCTATAACCAAACTATTCCTGCAAGTAGTAACTCTACAGTAAAGGCAGCATGGCAGAAGGCTGTGCTGGTAAAACACTTCTTGTACTAGCAGTAACTTAATTCATGCTGCTGTTGTTAACTAAGATGCACTTCCGCCAGAGCTCACAAGACCAAGGTAGTGAGAAAGAGGTGCTAGTCATACAGCTAGCTGTATGTTTAAACAACTATCCCCTGAGAACATAGGAAGAAGCTTAATTTAATGGCAAAATAGGCTAGTTCATATATTCTGCAAGCTCATGGCAGTAATGATACTCCTCTTACAGAGCTAATGAGCTCTTGTTTCCTTAGCACTGGAAGCTTTCACCTTCTGCTACAAAGTCAATACATTCCACTAGAAGAGAGAAGGCAGGCACACTGAGACTGCTAAAATCTGCCAGCTCATAAGGAACAGGTCTGCTCCACAAAAGCCACACTCCAGAGACTGTAAAAAAAGAAATAGATGCTCCAGAGCACCAGCTGACCATTGCAGGCAAATGCTAGAATGCCTGAAATGGTGCCTAGAACAACCTCTTTTCAGTAGGTGTGTTGGAGAAGGGCTTTTCCAAACATTTGAATTTATTAAGGTTGGATGTTAGGAAAGGCATGTTAGGTTCATTATGTACATGAAACCAACACTTACCACCTGCCAGTAGGAAACAAGTGATTATTCTAGACATTTACAAAACATTTCAGAATATGAACATGGCTCAACACCTAGCACTCCTAAACATATTTCTTAAGCAAAGATTTAAAGACTGTTAGCTAGTTACTAAACAAAGAGGTGGGTTAGCTCTGCAGAAAGGTGCCCAGAGGTGATTACTATAAGACCATATAACTGCAGTCCTGTGAGATGTCCATGAATTATAATACTACCCTGCAATTTTAAATTAAGGTGTTACAGTGAAAGTTTCTTATTGTTGACTCTTACTTTTCATTCCTGTATGTCTTGAGTAGAATTGAGGCTGTAAAAGTAGACTGTTTCTGTTCTGTGGCACTGGATTCAGGCTTCCAATGGAGAAATTCTTTTTCATGTTCCAAATTCCTTCCAAAGCCTCTGTTAATAATTTGTCACAATAATAATGGTATAACTGATTACTTCAACTTGTTCTAGAATTAATGTAACCTTTGGTCTATACAGTAATGAGAAGCAGTTAAGCAGAACACTATAATCTTCCTCCACAGTTAACAAAAAGAGATTGACACCTTCAGAGAGCAATTCAGATTGCTGAAGGTGTATGATGCTCTCTACTGTCTGTAGAACATCTTAAGACTACTAAACTCCCAACTGAAGCAGGATGCAGCTGATCTATAATAAAAAAGCAGTAATACAATTGATGCATCCAGTATGATTCACTGGTCAAACTGGAATACCAAATGCCCTCAACAAAACAACCACTCACCCCTCAAGGAAAACTAACAAAAAACCCTCAAAACAAACCAAACACCACTAAAATGAAACAGAAAAGCTAATTTATTTTGTGGAAAGGTTACAATTCACTAACCATCTAATTTGGGTAAAAAAAAAATAAACTTACTAATGATCTAAACTGTGTAAATAAGTAACCATCCAACCTGACATCTGCTGTTTATCTGAGCCCAGGCCACTTCGGTAGCATCTCTAATTCTCCAGATGTATATAGATTAAAAGGAATTTGCTGAATAATCTGTACACCAGCATCTGTTTGATCTTGTTATACATAGCATTGTTACGCTGTGCATATAAGATTATGCTATAAATACCATTTATATACTGAGCTTGTTATACATTCAGATCATACATTCCTGTTATATTTTTCTATAGTGTTTCTGTATTATCTTTAGTACTTTAAGCCTTTGTAACATCCGTGAGACCATACATTGTGGCATCCAGCTATGTCATTTGCTGATAAGGAGGATTACCTGCCACTGGATGTTTAACATAGCATGCTTCTTTCCGAATATAAAGCTCTTCTTCGAGTAGTTCCTTAACTCTCCTAGATGGTTCAACATACACAGATTTCTTCCCTGTTAGCAAAACATATGACAAAAGAACCAGTTATTTTAAATCCCCTGAATGCTGACATGCTTTGTTGAATGCCATTTTTTTTGCTGCTTTACTTCTGTCTTTAATACACTTTTAAGACAAGTTGTTTACAAAATGCACGGCCCTGCTCCCTGACATGAAGCAGTACAGGGTGGTGGTGGGTAGAACTAGCAGCGGGCGAGGTGGATCTCCAAGGGAGACATGGCCGCTGTGCCTGCCCATAGCGAACAGCCCAAAGCACGGCCAAGCACATAGGTCTTCATGGAGATTTCCTGCTCAGAGATCCCCATGGAGCTATAGAGGGACTAGGGCTCCTCATGCCGGCAGGGCACTGCCGTGGCAGGGTGCACGGTGCCCGGGGAGGCGAGGGACCATCACGCAAGGTGGCCACGGGGGATCAGTGGGGAGCTGCGGGGGTAAAGGCTCGGCTCCCCACCAGGGACAAGCCGGGGATGCGGGGGGAAGGCCGCACTGGACGGACGGATGGTCGGTCGGGGAGGCGAACCCCGCCGCCAGGCCGGGGCCCCGCCGCGCTCACACGGCTGCCTGCCTCCCGCTGCCTGCCCGCGGACATCGCTGCCCGTCTCCTCGGCCGCCGCCGGCAGCTCCCTCGTCGCCGCCCTCATGGCCGCCGCCGCGGCGGGGCAGGGAGAAGTCGGGCGACCCCGTTACCACAGCAGCACGGGCACCGGCACCCCGGCTCCGGCCTCTCTGCGGGCTGGAGCGGAGGGTGGAGCCGCGCCCGGCGGGGCGGTGCCGCTCACCCCCATGTTGGGGCTGGGGCTGGGCCTGGGTGGGTTTGCCCGGGGGTCGGAACCCGGTTCTTGGCACAGCCTGGTGCAGGGAGGCAGGTTCGCTGTTCTCCCGGCCGAGCGGGGCTGGTTTATCCCGTCCACAGGCGGTTAACAAGGGGGATGGCCAGTCACCATCCCCGGGGGACAGCCGGCCCGCTGGGGGCACAGGGTGAGTGACAGCTCTAGGCAGCACCCGAAGCGCCTCGGCTGAGTCAGTCAGAACGCGCTCAGAAGTGGGCACAGGCATCACACTTTGTACCCTGTGGGGGATCACCACGGGCCTGCATTCTAAAGTGGTGTTTGTCCCTCCTGAGGCAATGGTGGATTGATGGAAATAAAGACCGTATAGCCCAGTTTTACTGGGAGGAGGACGCAGATCTACTCAAAAGTACTAGCTTGGTTTTAATAACGCTTTTCACAAAATGAAAGCGTTATTAAACAGTTTGAGATACTGTTTATAAGCCTGAAGTAGATTTGACTCCTTGTTTTGCAGGCCGTTCTGAGAAAGAAAAGCAGCTGGCACTTAGTCAACCAGTACTGCTGCCAGAGAAGCTGTCCTGCTCGCTGCGCTGGAATCTTACCCCCACAGAAGCTTCCTTGAAACCAAGACTTTGCATACAGCAGTGAGAGTTTATGAGATATAAACCAAGTCCTAAGACACAAACCCACCCCCGTCACCTTGAGTGTGGTTAAGTGACAGCAGCCAAATCAGTCAGGACTTCTGGAAGCCCAACTCGGATGTGGATGCCTTGGAAGAGAAATACAAGCGATCAGAAAGTTAAAGTGTCAAATAAGAAAATAGTCTGGAAATTAAGGAATTCTGGGGGGAAATATCAGTAAGGTTTTTTAATATTTATAAATATTTGAGCTGGGATGAGGGATTCTCTTTCGGGATTCGAAAGTGGAGGAGATGGATGGCCATGAGGAGTGAGGGAAGATTATGAGGGGAGAGGTGAGGCAGTCATGAGGCGTGCGAAGAGATCATAAGGAAACAAGAGAGGTGGCCATGAGGGATGAGGTGGAGACTGTGAGGGGAGAGCAGGGGCAGCCATGAGGGAAGATCATGAGGGGAAAGGTGGGGCAGCCCGTGGGGCAGCATGATGGGCTGGGAGGGGCAGCCATGGGGGGAAGTTGTAAAGGGAGAGGTGGAGCATTTGTGAAAGGCCATGAGGGGAAATCTTGAGGGGACAGGAGGGGTGGCCATGAGAGGAAACTGTGAGAGGTGTCAGGGAGAGACAGGAGGGGTGGTCGTGAGGACACAGGAGGGGCGACCATGGCGGAGGGGGGGGGGAGTTGAGATTGTGATGGGAGAGCAGGGGTGGCCATGAGGGAGGATCACGAGAGGAGAGGTGGCGTGGCTGTGAGAAAAGAACATGAGGTGAAAGCAGGAATAGCTACAGGCTGTGAGGGATGGCCACGAGGGTTAGAGGCGACAGCTGAGGAGACAGATGAGGGGTGGCTGTGACTGGCGACAGTGAGTGGCAGGCATGGAGATCACTTTGCCCTTAGTGACATAGTTTAGTGGTGGGCTTGACAACCCTGGGGTAAAGGTAGGGCTCCAGGGTCTTGAAGGTATTTTCCAACCTAGCTGATTCTATGAAATACGTCCTGCACTAAATTAGCTGTAACCAGTCAGACACAATAGTATGTTGGCTGTTTACCTGTAAAAAGCTGAAGCTGATTTGTTCTAATTTATGGCATAATCATGACATTGAAACTTCTCAATCTAATTCACAAACAAAAAATAAACAGGATCTTCATAGAAAGTCACTTCCTTGGAAAGCACCAGGAAAAAAGAACCAACAAAATTCCTTTGTCATCCTATGATTAATGATTTTATGAACAGGCAATGGCGTTGATAATTGTGCTTTCAGTTAAAAATATGACAACAAACTCCTTAGGATTAAATATTTTATTTTATACGAAGCCTTACACCAGGATCACCGAACATTTTGTGTATCACCCAAATAAGTTACATTCATTCTGAGCTTTCATGCAGGTCTAAAAAAGTTAAATTTCTCAAAAAAATAATTTTCAAGTTGAGCTGTGCCAAACTCTGCATTACCAAGCCAGAATTCTTTCACATCAAGTAAACATTCCAGTTTCCTCTCCTGCTTTAATAGTACAGATCAATTACAAAGGCCCCTCCCAATATGCACTAATTAAATGGAAACTCACTGGAATTACCAAGACTTTCTGAATTCCTTGTGTGACAGTAGAAATGCTTCCAAGTATGAGTGAGACCACTGAGCAGAGCTGCAAGAAGTGACATTTTGCCTGAGAAGAATACTGAAGTATGCTAAATGAAAACCTCGTTGCAAAGGTACAGACCACCAGGGATGAGCATGCAGGACACAAACAGAAGGCAGCAAACATCCCATTTTCACAAGCGTCACCACAACTTTTAAGGGCACACAGCATTTATGCAGTCTTCTACTATTTCAAAAAGATAGTGATATATATCAGTCCTCCTGGCAATGTCAAGAGCTGTTTCATCCAAGTTGTTCTTCAGGTCTGGCTTCACATAGCGATTCATCAGCAGGAGTTGAAGGGTTTCCCTGCTGTTCTTGTTTCCTGCAGCAATGTGCAATGGTGTCAGCAAGCCATTTGTCTGGGCGTTGATGTCCGCACCCTGCTGAAGTAAGAATGCGGCCACACTGGTGTTGTTCCACTTACAGGCGCTGTGCAGGGGTGTCCAGCCATCCACTGTCTGTGCATGAACGTCTGCCCCTTGTGCCACCAGCTCATGAGCCACGTCCAGGTGCCCGCTGTAGGCAGCACGATGGAGAGGAGTGTACTGGTCTTCATCACGAGCGTTGACTGGAGCCAGCTTTTCCGTAAGGAGCCTCTTCACTGTGCTCAGCTGTTTGAAAAAAACAGGCAAATTAGTATGAAACTCTGCCAGCAAGATGCACAGCTTTTACTGTGCCAAAGTTTTACAGAAAAGCAATTTCTGTCAGTCTCAAAAAGTCTTAAAGTGCAATGAGAAGGTTCTGGGGAGAGCTGAGAGCAGTATTCCAATACCTAAAGGGGCCTGTAAGAAATCTGGAGAGGAGCTTTCTTTCTTAGTGACAGGACAAGGGAGAATGGCTTTTAGCCAAAGGAAGGTAGATTTAGATTAGCTATTAGGAAGAAATTCTTCAGTGAGGGTGGTAAGACACTGGCACAGGCTGCCCAGAGAAGCTGTGGCTGCCCCATCCCTGGCACTGTTCAAGACCAGGTTGGATGGGGCTTGGAGTAACCTGCTCTAGTAGAAGATGTCTCTGCCATGGCAGGGGTTTGGAACTGGATGAGCTTTAAGGTCCCTTCCAACCCAAAACGTTCTACGGCCCTATGTTAAGAAATTTAAAAATGAAACCAGTTATTGTTGCTGGGTTTTTGTTAGAGTTTTGGGTGTTTGTTTTTTTTTTGTTGTTTTAAGATATGCAACATGAGCAGTAGTTGTGATGCCTTAAGGCACCTTTAACTTACACCTTCTCCCCATTTACTCTGAGAACATAAGTACCTCCACAGAAATGTAGACAGAGCTTGTGTGCATGTAAAAAAAGGCAACGAATAAACATAAATGTACATAAAGGCATAATAACCTAACAGGAATCTTGGGCATTTCTCCCTCACTCCCAAGAGTAAAAAGCTTTATTTTCTGTAAAAATATAGGAAAACAGTCACCTATTATGTCCATATGGATTTTAGAAACTGAAAGTTCAGAGACATCCTCTCCACCCCAGCAAAAGGCTGACTTGCCATGAAGAGCCTCGCATGCTTTCAGTATACAGAAGCTTAAGAAAAGTGCTACTGCTTTCACTCTGAACAGCAGTCAAAGCTTTTGTTCCCAAAGCTTTTGATCCAGACATGTTTTATTGTGTGGGGGCTACAAAGGGAGATGTTTTACATAGAATGGCTTGCAAAACTGGATCTAAATAGTTCAAAGGAATAAAAGAAAGTGTAGGTGCACTTTTGTTTGTGGATGAAACTGCAAATACACTCAAAATAACATTCTTGTCAGGGGTTCATACGAACCGAAGAAATACCTTACCCGATTGTTTTCAGCTGCCCAGAGTAGCAATTTCTCTGGATGTTTTTCCATCTTTTTTTCCTGCATTTCGTACCATTCCTCACTTCTTTCTTGCTCATCGTCATCATCATCCGACTGTCCTGACCAACAGCTCTGAGTTCCTACAGGAATCAAATGCCTGTGTGTCTCCAGCAGCTCGAGCTGGTTAAAATTCTCCATAAAGGCTTCGAACTCATCACTGTCATCATCATCATCTTCGATTTGTCTCTCTTTGTTCATTTTCACTTAGTGTCTGCAAGCAGCCGACATCCAGCGGTATTTGTAACAACTCCTGTTATCTCAGCGCTGGTTGTCGACTCAAACACCTGATGGACAATGCAGAGATGAGCAACGCCACCACCAGCAAAGCTCAGGAGCAGGATCAGTTCCTCTGCTCACCCGCATCCAGGATAGAGAACGCCACCACCTCACCGACAAACGACCCCACATTCAGACACACTCCAGTCACTCCGAACTCATACACAGAAGTGGGGAGCACAGGCCAGGCTTCACAGCGGGCTTCCGCTCCTCCTGCCCAGCGGCCTTCACTGCCCTCCCGGCCCCGCCGCGGTGGTCAGGCCACCCCAGGAGGGCCTCAACGCCCAACCCTGCGTCCACCATAAGCCCTCCCCGA